CAGGTGGCGTTATAGCTGCACGTAGACAGCAGGGATCCTGTTACCTGGAGTGTTCACTGGAGTAGAGCAAACACTGGTGCCTGTGTAATGAATTACCTACGGTGTCCAGAAAGTCAGTACTTCACTCTGATCACAGAAGCTCATCACTGATAATTACTTCTAGTAAAGAAAGTAGAAAAGCTGTTGTGATGCAGACAACAAAGGTCATGAAGTTCAGCATAAGATGACTCTTCTTACTGAAGTTTACCAAACGGCAACATCCTCTTTGAAGCATGTGTGGTGGCAAGACTTCTAAGTCAAAGATATATTTAAAACAAGTTTGAGTGGTGATTTGCTTTGGTTTCTCTTCACTAAGTTCTTTCTTTACTGAAGTGACATTTTCTCTTGTATTTCCCATTCGGACAAGTGCTTAAAGGACTCTGTGTCAAATTATTATTGCATTTCAGTTAAACAGGAAGTGATTGATTAAAAGTAAAAGTTACTAAACACTTCAATTTTAAAAAGAAAAGTATTTATGAAACATGTTTTAACATTTATTCTATAGGAATTTTTAGGTAAGACTGGAATTTTAGCATTGCTGGTTTTATTAAGGACCGTTATTTCCTAATGTTGTTTTTTCCCCCCCACAGCATTCATATAATTAAGGACCAATCACATAGCCCCTGCACAAAAAATACTCCAACAAACCAGAAGAACAATGGATGGCTATTTGATTAGCATCTGACTTGGAATGCATGCAGGAGGATGGACCTAAATACAGATTGCTCTTGTGCGAGCCAAGAGAACCAATAGACTCCTGGTTAGGTGTCGAAAAAAACTGAGTCGAAATCTGGCTGCCTTCAATTTTAAGGCTGTTTTTAGTTTACACAATAAATAGTTCAAAGCTGCTAAAAAAGTTATTTTCAGGTATGATCCAATTTAACCAGGAGTGCGTTGAAGTCTCTATGGCGATAAACCATGTCTTGTAAAAGTATTGCCAAATAATTATTCACATCTCGTTCTGTCTTTAGTGAGTTTTATTTAGAGTTTCTGTGATAAACCAACACAAAGTAAATCATTTTAAAATGGAAGGTGATTTAATAAATGTTACACAAAAAACAACCTGAAAAGAGAAGCGCACATTTGTATTTAACCACTTTATGGTCACTTTATGCCCCTAAATAAAAAAAAAAAGACCAACAACCACTTTCAGGAACCAATTGACAGTAAATAGTTTCAGCTGTACGTCATTTCTTCTTCTTCTGATAAACATAGCCCTTCTATGCTTGACTCTAAGGGTTGTTAAAAGACTTTAGCAAATAAACAGTAAGATATCATTAGACAAGCAGCAGAACTTTGGTGCACAGTTTTCCTTTACAGCTCCAGGCTTTTTAGGGTGTGTGTCAATCAGCTTTACAAATCTAAGGACTAAAATGTTGATCTTTTCTCAACTAAACACAGTTCAAACCAGTATTGCCCTGCATTTATCTCCATCCATCTAGTAGTTAAGCAGGTGAAACTCTACTTATCAACTCTGATCTGCTTCCCTTTCCCTGTAGCGTAATGCTCTCACCACCATGTTTCATAGTAGAAAGTGTTGCTTTTCTGCATTTACACTTTTAAATTCTAAAAAACAGTTACACCCAACCTCCTGCTGCTTTACCCCACTCAATGCATAGAAAAAAGAAATTTATACAACTTGTAATGTGACTATAGCATGAAAAATGCTCCCTAGATCTAAATACATTTGCAAGGGTATGTAAATATTGACAGTTCAAGGAGAAAGTATGTGAGCAATGGACGTCATCATTGTGCTCACTGCCATGGCAATAGTTATTAGCTTAGCAGATCAGTGCTTTCTACAGGATGGCTCACATGTGAAGGAGGAGCTGAAGATGTTGTACTTTAAGCAAACTACGGAATCTAGAGCAGCATATAACAGCTGAAGTGACGCAGAAAACCCACACATTAAATGTTACCACAGCTGTGGTTAAAGAGCTTTGCTGCTCTGAATGAAAAGAAAAAAAATTCACATACCTCTGAGACACAAGAATTCAGTTGGCCGATAAAGTTCAGCTAAACAGAGATATAAGGTTTAACAGCAAACCCAGACGCCCTTTCTTTCTTTATCTCTCTTTGACACAAAACTCTTACTGGAAAATATGTCATTCAGTTAGAGATAGTATCTAGGGCTGGTTTGTTAGGTTGGATGACTTTTATGCCATTATTACAAGGCAGAATCTTAAGACAACAAATGTTTCCATTCATTTTATCAGGGTTTATGGTTTATTGACACATCAGGATAGGAGCCTGTACAGATGGTGTGACTGTAGGAAATTAAAGAAGCATCACATGTGATTAAAGGACCCATTCACTTCAAATGGTACAACTGTTAGACAGTACATTTGTTATAGAGGTAAACTAAGACATCAAATACGATTCTATGTTTAATTAATAGGCCATGATGAACTTCTACTACAGTCATTTTAAAATCCCGCCTTTGTGCTGAGCATTCTGCTGGTAATTCCAATCAACATCAAGAAGTAAAATCATTAAGGGTTTAAACAATCTATTTTTCCCATTCTTCTACATTCTGGTTACTTTTTTTCCACAGAAGCATGCGACAAATCTAAAAAGACTTACAGAGGAAATGGAACACGTGGAGCGCTGTGAATGGTCTCTACTGCTGATCACCTCAGGGAAGAGATTGACATCTGCAGTCCAGACAGATGTGACAGAGGGGGAAATGCTGATATCTGATGGCTGATTTGTGTCCTGATAATTAGATCCAGAGAGCATTAAAGATACAGCTCAAAAATAAGCAGCTGAGAAAGGAAAAAATGGAGGAAGGAAAGAGGAGGTAGTGACTACGCGCGTAAAGAAGTTCCTACCCCTCCCCCTTTTTTTCCCTCACATAGGGTGACACATGGTACTTTTCTAGTTTGCTGAAAACAACAATCCCACTTTTAGAAATAACATTATTCTACTTCTTTACAATGACATAGGTCATCATTGTGGAAGCTGTCACCTTAACCCTTTATAGGGAAGTTTCCATTTCTGATGACTTGCATACCCCTTACAAATAGAGTCCCCTCTGTCCTTCAGTGAGGTCTAGAAGCACAAGATCTATATTCAGCCATTCAGGAAAGATACATTTGACCAATTAGATGAGCCCTTGAATGATATATTACCTACTGCAAAGTAAGTTGAAAAAAAGTAAACAAGAAAAAAAAGGTAAAAACCTTATTAAAAAGTTAAAATAAAAGTTAATAACCCTAGTTAACAGTTTATAAACTAAAAGTATCTACCTGTATCAGCATTAATGCCTCTAAGGTTATGTTGGACCAAAAAAAAAAAAAAGTGTTTCTTTCACTCACTGTTTTACATGAATTTCTTATAGAAGCTCTTTTGTTATTTTTCTTAATATATTCGAGCAAGTTGGCGTTTCTTATTACATTAACATTCATTTTTTGCCATCAAAATGTTACAAAGGTAATAAGGTCTTGTCCTAGAGTCCAATAACACTATTGGCTTGAAATGTGGATTTTTAAAGGATTTCACTGAGTGCACTATAAAGGGTTAAGGGATAAAGACTGGATGTACTGGGATCTCCATTTTCACTTAAATACTAATCTTATTGTCCAACACTAGAGATCTTTTTTATTATTTTACTCATACAGTTGTCAGTGCCTTTTAAAGGCATTTTTCATTTCATTTCTGAGCTTTCTGTTTTTTCATGACCCATGAACGCTACCATCTAGTGGGTTAGAAAGAAAAAGCAACCAGCAAGATCCCAGATTATAACATTTTCAATTTTGCTCAGATTTCTGAAATTTTAGATAGTCAAAGCAATGCGTGCAGCTTCATGTAAACACACAAAACTCCCTCAGTAGAACTAGTAATTAATATGTAGAACAACTTTCTCTACCTTTGCTTCTATTTTTGTTTCAAAAGGTATATTTTTCTAGGATCTATAATTCCTGTATAACAAAGTCATTCACCATTCTAGTTATAACCTTCTACATAACTATTTCAATTCAATAATGACTTTATGGTAAAAGCAAATGTTTTTGTGTGTGTTTTTACACAAACCAATGATATTTTACTGGGCGCTTTTCAAAACATTGTAATGAAGGGTGAGGGTTGACGACATTTGACATTTTGAAACGGCAATCAGAAGCTCAAAGAAGATTCACCTTCATTAACTTGCAGCAGAGAACAGCCATATTTGTTACACTAACAGCGTGCACAATAGAACAGGATGCGTGGTATTGACTGGGGATGCATGTAACTCATAGAAATAGTGTTAAACATGGAAAAATTAAATAATGAAAAAAGGTGAATTATGAAAATAGAACTTTTTTCCCACTTAAAGGCAGTATCACTTTCAATTATATTGTCAATATATTGCAATGCAAATAATTTGTTTTATGTTAAAACAAATACTGCAAGTATAAAAATGCAATTTATTGAGACCAGAACTTGCTGATGTTTGATAACCTGAAAATCTGATATCATGTTTTGGATTGATTCCCTGCCACTGATTTGACAAACAAATGATATGATTGATTGGATTGATTGCGGGTTCTGAATTTTATCAAGTGACAGTAGCTAAGTAGCCTATTTAATAATGAGTGGGTTCAATTTTTAAAGCCATATTTGTATGGATCTGGCTGTAGTGACAGATCTATACTATGATCAACTAATAAGGAGCTTTATGCCTCGTCTTTATCACTTATATAGAATACCAAAAAACTGACTTAAAAATGTGAAATAATGAGTCAATTTCCCTGGAAATTTACATTTTTCAGTTATTTAACTTGCAGAACTTAAAAAAAACTGACAGACAACTGGTTTACTAAAGGCAAACCTTTAAAAAATGTAAATATAGATTCTAAAAAACATGTGAATCTTAAAAGTAACCAAACAAAAAATAAAACCTAGAAACATTTACCTTTTATCTTGAAAATGCATTGCAGGACATTTGCAGACCTTGCAGGACATTTAAAAAAGAGATCTTATAAATATAAAATTATTTTATTTTTTTTTTAGACAGAAAAAAAGAACAAAATTTTATAAAAACAGTGAAATGTTTAGACGTAGCTTTGTGATGGAGTTTTATCCGTTGAACTTTAGAGGACACATCACTTTCCTTTCTCTACCCACATAAAGAAATTACATCGAGCCTCTGGGTTGGAAACATGTCCCTGAGGCCGTCCACACACAAAAAACTGTTTGCCCATATTCGGGCCCTCTTTCTTCACAGTGCGAAGCACACAGGGTTCCCTGTGCACCTTGCAGCAGGGGGCCGGGGGAGGACCGTGAAGCACAGACTTCCAAAACACAGATGATGCCCCCTTCTTGACATCTGATTGCCCCACGGCGAGCTGAGAGGCCGGCTGTTTGGTCTTCACCGTTTTGTCTGGTTCTCCTGTGGTGCTGCTGATGCACAGCTGGGATGGAGCCTTAACAACAAGCTCAGTGTCTTCCGTTGGGCTGCCTGTGTCGGGACACAGCTCACTGGTGGTGGATGCCTTTGGGTCTCTGTGTGATGAGGTGAATCCATCCAGAGCAGGTGTGCTCTCACACTGTTTAACAGCTGTGAGTTTGGGTTTAAAGAAAGAAAGGAGGTTACCCTGTGGCTTTAAAGAGTTATTTGTTGTCTTAGACTTCTTCCCCTTTGGGGCAGCAGATTCTGGTGCTGCAGGCCGTTTTTTACCAGAGATGTATGGGACAGGAGATGGATTCATGTTCTCCCGTCTTTCCTCCTCTTCCTGAGATCCAGGTAAGGTTTGCTTTGGCTCAGACTGGGAGGACTTTTGGTCCACCTTAATCAGAAAGCGAGACAGTTTCTGCTGTTTTCCAATGAACTCCGGCAGATAGCGCGTGCAGAGGGGAGGAGGTTTGGAGCTGGGAAGAAGCAAACATTTCAGTTTTGCCCAAACAGGACAGTGATCGGATCCCTCTACCTCAGGCATGATGTCTGCGCCTACAAACTGCTCCTGGGCCAAGCACCGGTCAGCAAATATATAATCGATACGTGTGCCGTAGTTAGTCTGTCGGGCTCCAGTGAGCGTGGACCAACACGTGAAGGCGTTTGTACGAGTTGGGTGAAAGTACCGAAAGATATCAATAAATTTCCCTGTTTGGGTACAGTCTCTCATCTCCGACTCTTTATCACACTCCTCCTCATCGGGATCCTCTTCTTCACTGCTACTGTACAGAAAGCCATTAAGCCATTTCCTCCCAGGATATTCAGCAAAATCATCCTTAGAAATGTAAGAAAAAAACAGTTATTACCAAACTCGAGCAGGAAGACCTGCAGTAATGGTAAAAGAAAATACACTATCTTTTTATTCTAAGATTTATTCCCAATCTCTATTCAGCTTCTGGGAATAAAGAATAATTCCTTATTTTAATTTAAAAAAAGTTTTAACATAACTGCTTGTGGCCAACATGTCTGTTGTAGCGTTGAGAACATAACTAAGTTATTGTTTCTTAATGACTTTATAACAAAGGGGTTAGGGTTACCCGAACTCTCTGATTGTGCATGACACAACAGGCATTAAAAAATAGATAGCAGCAGCAGAGCCTGAATGCACGGTGGAGGCAGCTTTTCTCAATGTGCACACATTTCAATAACATTTGTAATATATTCTGCAGCCTGAGTGCTAAAGTTTTTTTTTTTTTTAAGTGTTTTTTTTTTTCACTTTTGCTTTACTGGGAACTAAACAAACATCCTCATCTATCAGCCACTTAAAACACTATAAGTTGCAAATGGAAAAACACACCACTATTTTATGACAACAAATTGTTTAGGCATGACAGTATTTCTACTTTAAATGCCTCTGTCATCGTAAGATTTAATTATCTAATGAACTGACACAACATGAGTTTATAGGTCAGTAACCAGGAAACCATTTCTAATGTAGAAATATTAGCTTAGAGTGAAAATGTAACACAATCCTTAACTTACATCATCACATGGGTCACAGTGGTCTATTGGCCGATGAGAAGTATTCACATCTCCTAAAACAATTACATGGCTGGAAAACAGAAAACATAGGTGACTAAAAGGATGGTTTAATAGGAAGCAGAGGAACAGCAGAGCTACAATAATCTGTGTCCGCTGGACCTTTGCAAGGTTTTGTCAGATTGCAACAACGAATTTCAAAGTATTTTGTTCAGATTTTATGGACAGAGCAACACACAGTAGTACAGAATTGTGAAGTCTAAATGCAGTTATAGCAGAGAGGCCTTCAGAGAGTTTCTATTGCAGCTTTACACGCCGTCCTCCTTGACATTGTGAGGAGTCAGCTGAAGTGGATTGGACATCTTTTCAGATGAACGCCTCCCTCGCAGATATAGAAGATGACGCCTACAAGCTTTGCACATCTAGAAAGTCTATGTTTTGACCATTCATTTTTACAAAGTAAGTGAGATTAAATGGAGAGCATCTGTTAACAAGAAAAAGCATGATGTTGCCTGTAGGTGTGGTGTTTTTAGGTTTTAATAGTTTGTCACAAATAGTGTTACTTGGAGGCCAAAATGTTCAATCATGGTCAAATCTATGTCTGCAACTTACGATTTTTTTGCAAGTCGATTAATATGTCGACTATTTCTTCAATTAATTGATTATTATCAGATAGCCAAAGGTTCCTTAACCCCTAGAACCCTACGGACCCACCGGTGGGTCCAGCTGCTACGTGACCTCGTAATTTTAACAAACCCCCAGTATTGATGTAAAAAATATATTTGGCACAGTTTGGTGACATTTTTGGATAAATGTGCCAAAATGGCCCCTCCGCCTAAGAAATTTCTCACTAATACCATTCTAAAATAAATATGATTCATCTGATTAAATCCAAATTTGGTATATTTTTACACAACATTTAGATTTAAAAGTCTGTACTACTTTTTTGTGCTATAAATAATATTTTGGTAGTGTTTTGCAATGTTTATTTCAAAGAAAATTTTGGCGAGGTTCAAAAAATGCAAAATATTTTGTATTTTGTCCCTAATATTTCAGGCAGGGTCAAAGCTACAATGGTGCTGACACCAGAAAACCATTCTATGACATCTTACCTTTACAGAGGTACCAAAAGTTTCTTCTAAAATCTAATAGCTGTGAGGCTATAAGTGATTTACTTTTGTGTGTTTTTGTCAGGCAGAAATTTATTTATACCCCCTGAGGGTGTAAGAGGTTAAAGAAGATTTTTTACTAAATAAAACAAGGTGAAACTAAAACTTTTCCACTTAAGGAGTTCCAGATAGAGGACATTGATGGATGAAATTTATCTTTTATCTTAAATGCAAAATGTTTTATATTATTTTATCTTTTACAATATAATTACTGTTCTAAGTGGGTTGCTCTGTCAGCTAAAAGCATGTTTTAGAGTCTCTATACTCCAGTAAATGATTAATTGATTACTATATTAGTTGACAATTTTTTCAATAATTGATTAATCCGATTAAGAGTTTAAGCCCTAGTCAGATCTGATCAGAGCTCCTTCCGTAGGTTTCTCCCTTACTTAGATAGGACCACACTGCAAATGGGGCATCAAACACTGCTCTCTTTTTGTCTTTGTTCTATTTTGTCATGTTCTACAGAGGTATAACTTTATCTGTCATCAAAGTCTCCCACATGAACAGTGGATCTCTGCAGGGAGTTCAGATTTTTAATTGTAAAAATGTTCCTTCCTGTTAAAAACTATGGACAACTTAGTTTTTCTATGTCACATAAAGTCCAAATTAAAAACACAAAGTCTGCAATTGTAACGTGAGACAATTTAAAAAAAGAAAAAGGGACGTGCAGGTGGTGCAGCGGTTAGCGCGCATGACCCTCGTATGGAGGCCTCAGTCCTCAATCCGACTTCTGGACCTTTGCCACATGTCTCTCCCCCTCTCTCATACCCCCTTTCCCGTCAGCCTACCGTTGAAAAAACAAGCCACTAGTGCCGAAAAAAAAAAAAAGTATTTCAGTTAAGTGTTGAGATCCTGCCAGCACATCATAATTTTTCTCATGCCCAACATTTAGGTATGTTATCTTAGAAACTGTTAGCAAAGATAAAAAGTGTAAAAACCAGATGTATATCATAACCAAAACTGTACATATTTCAGTTTAAGGATTTAAAGTAAAAGCAGGAAACACCTGTTCTGCTGTCTCTGTTTGTGGGAAGTGCTCTACACTCTCACCTCCCTCCTTGTAACAGAGCTTCGGCCCGACGTTGAAGCACCTCGTAGAACCTCAGCTTGAACTGCTTTCGCTCCGGCTTGTCTGGGTCAGCCCGCGGGCAGTAGACATTTATCACAGTGACAGTCTGCTCTTTGTCCTGACACCTTTGGACGAAACCCACACACACAAATAAATCAAATAAACACTGTTAAAATTAGGTTAGTTCTAATAAATATAGGCATGCCTTTTAAAATAATGAAGTTTTATGTTCATTAATAATAGAAGACAATTGAATGCAAAAACAGAAATAATCACCGTTCTGTATCCAACACATGTTTTCGTCTTACATTATCTTGTGCTGTGTGATGACTGCTCGCCCCTCATTGTCCAAAAGCTGCAGCTCCTCACTTGAAAAGTCAGTGTGGTCACCATAGCATCCAGCAGCTCCCTCATGGTTGGTAAGCAGACCTGTGAGCCCCTCTTCAGCAGCGGAAGGAGTGGCATCGTCCCGACAGTAAGTTGCAACCCCTGTGCACAAAAGAAATGACACACAATTATTGTAGACATATATTAAATGGAAGATGACATCAGGTTCTGAGCTTCCTTAAGTAAATCTAGAAAACCTACTTTATTGTGATTTTAAGGCAGGTATAAATGTGTACAATGAAACTAGTAGATTTAATATTTATTTATTTATCTACATAATTTAAACATAAATATACCTTGAAATTGTAAAATGCAGATATTGTTTAGTAGTTCATTTCTGAAATGTCCCATTAAATGATTAGGAACACATTCAAAATTATGCATCAAATATTTAAATGTCTTAAAAATACATGTATCTAAAAATTGAGATAATCATTTCACTTTATATTTATATAAATAATTTAGCGTGAGTAATTACGTGTAATTTTAGGGGTTATCAGTCTGCTCTTTGTTATTTGTGGGGTCACAGGCTGAAAAGCACTGATTAAAGGGGACATTAAGGGTTGGAAAAGCTAAATAACAGTGTAGTACACCTGAATAACCGCTGCGTCCTCTACTGTAGCTGAAATAAGAGTTGTAACCGTCAACAATAGCCGTCCTTTCATCCAGCAGGTCTCCTGTGGAGCAGAAATGCGGGTTAAACCTTTGATCGCTTTCATAACAGAGCTCTGATTGGAGCAACAACAGCTTCTCTGATTTTAACACTTACTTGTGACTTTTGTCTCCTGAACACAAATTATGTCTGCATCCAGGCTATCAAGGGCATTTTTTATCCCACCTTTAAACGTCCTAATGCCGTTTATATTCCAGGTGACAAGCTTCATTGCTTCTGAGCGGCAAAACGCCAATGTTGAAAGAAGGAAGCAAACCGGATGTTAGTGTAACGTAAGCGGAAGTCTAATTACGCGTCTATTTTGGCACGATTATTTTGACAAAAAATACGTTTTACTGAAACAATAATAATAAATATTATATGTTTAAAGATGCATATATAATTAAGCTTATGTATCAAAAATAACGTCGACTAAGGAAAATTAGGACAAATTATTTTAAATTCCCTCCTAAATATAAAGAATTATCAGAATAATAAATGACATATATCCTTCAAATTAGTGCTTAAGACAGAGATTTAAATTCAATTTTGGGAATTGTGGTTTCTGTATAACTCAATTGGAAACTACTAATCATTTGTTTTATGAATCTAAAGAAGTAAGAAACCTATGGGATCAACTTCAGATATTTTTATCTTCTAGATCTATAAATGTGGACTTTAATTCTATACACATAATTCAGTTTGGTTTATATATTAATGAAAAAAAATGTGAAATTCTTAGTTAATGCTTTGATGATTATAACCAAATATTATATCCATAAATGTCATTATGCAAAATGCTGCCTCTCATTCTCTGCTCTCAAAAACAAACTTTCCTCCTTTAACCGATGTCTGAAAAAGATGCAGAACCTTAAAGAAAATAAATTGTCTGATTTAATGGAAGAATTTCAGTTAGTCCCCTCTTCTTAATAATTTATTTATATTGTTAGTTGTTTGTTTTTTTTTTCTCTGTTCTAGCCTCTAATCTCTATTGGAGTTAATAGGAGTTGTGATATTATTTTTTTCTTGTAATGTTCATTATTGACGTATTGTTTGAGATTGTCATTGATATTCTTTATTTCAAGAAAAAAAAACGGATATGAGTATGACGCAAGCGGCAGTCTAATTACGTGTCTATTTTGGCATGCTTATTTTTACTAAAAATAAATTTTACTGAAATAATAATAAATAATAATATATGTTTAAAGTTGTTATATAATTAAGCTCACGCGATACAAACAACGTCGACTCTGACTTGGGACTTAGCTCACAGTTTTTTAGAGAATCTGGATTACATTCTACTTCTTCTTTAAAAAAAAATAAAATTCTTCTTCTTCTTATGTTTTTTATTGGCGGATGGCAACCAACTTAAGGTGTATTTAACCGCCACCTACCAGACTGGAGTGTGGTTATCAATGATGTCAGAAGGAAGTTATTAATACATACCTCAATGGTATTCACAAATCTGCATATTATATATCAATCAATATACAAAATCACATATAAATTAGTATGTGAGCATATGCACATACATACACACACTTATATTCTTACTTAAAATACGATTAAATAATCCCTTATTTTTTTAAATTTAATTAACTGATTTCACTTCCTAAAAGATGGATTACTTTCTATCATAGACATTGTATTAATGTTTATGATTTTCTCAAAGCTAAAATACTAAATGACTCAAAGTGGTCAAACTTTTAATAAATAAAGAGCCACCATTATGTTAAAAAAATGAGAAACATTTATTCTATATGTGAAAACATACAAAACATTGTAATTTTAGTGTTTAATTTCCCAGTTCAGACCTTAGATTAAGAAACAAATGTGGAAGAACCTGAAAGCCTTAGAAATTAATTCAGTCTCGGTCTGAACAGTAAAAATCAGTGGTGGATCAGGCTAGTTTTGTGTTAGTACCAAATGAATAGATGAAGATAATATGTTATTACTATATTTTGAAGGTTTTTTTTACTAACCTTTATATAACTTGTCATAGATTCTTGATTTGTTGTGGCAGCGGGCTAAGGTGGACCTTTTATATAATACTTAAGAAAGAAATACATTGTTGTAAATTTATGTGTATTACTATGTTACTATGTGATCTTTTTGACTATATTGCCTTACATTTTGTTAAATGACATGTAAATTATAACGTACCCATTGGGACTAATCGATCCACTCAAGCAGATTCCAAACCAGTTTTAGAAATTATTCAGGGAGAAGGAAATGATAGAGAAGATTTAGTATTAGAAATCCAGCACAGTCTATTTAGATTATATAGGGGTGGCATTGATATTTGGTTATGTTGGGTTCCAGCAGATGAAGGTGTAAAAGGCAATGAAAAAGCAGATATATTAGCAAAAAGGAAAAAGGGAAATCACTTATTAAGAGTAAAGAAAAGGAAAAATGGCAAAAGAGATGGAATAAAGATAAGAAAGGAAGAGGATTATATTAGGTACAAAAATCAGTATTAAATAGAATCATTAATGAGAGAAACAGAAGGGAAGAAGTAGTAATCATCAGATTAAGAGTGGGTCATACCTATTTAAATGAGAATTTAATGTTGCTACACACTCATGTACAGTAGATGGCGGTATGCACCTTATAGGTGCATACCGATCCGCCATTATAGAAAAGAAGAAGAAAAATGGCTCAGACCCCTTCGTGTTTGAGTCTGCAGTTCCCTGGAGGACCGGAGGAGGGCGCTTCCGTGTCGTCAGATTTTCAGCGCGCATTTGACACTCAGACGGTCCGACCCTCCACGAAACGAGCGAAGCAGGTGGGTTGAGAGGAAGGGGAGCGGCTGTTCATACACCAGACCGGGTACCGCTGGGTGGTAACGTGATTAGAAGACTTCATTTGCCGGTTGGACCCCAATTAGGAGCAACCTTTTCGTTTTGTGGCGATAGGTGAGCTCCAGCTTTAGAAAAAACTGGGGTGAGTACGTAGTTTGGTCACTGATGGCTGACTGTCTGGCTAATTAGCTCGTCTGATAGGATTCAAGAGGGAAAGCTCAGTGGTGTTCGTCCCCCCCCCCCGCTTTGTAAGGGTTTCAGTTTTAGAGGCTTGATCTCTTAACTCGGCTAATAGGTTGACATTTTGATTTTATTTGCCGTTTATACCACATTAAGCTAAGCTAATGATGCTAGCAGCCGGATCAGTGTCCTGTTTCTCTTTACCGGTGTCGTGTTCGTTTTTGCATCCTTGTCATCATCTTCTCAATAAGTGATCAAGTCTCTTCCACTATCAAATGCTTAAAGCTACCACTATAAGGGGAACAATTGGAGCTGGTGGAAGCAGATGTTATTGGGATGACTAACTGCATCATGTGTGCGGGGCAGCTGATGTATCCATCTTCGGGCAAAGATGAGAGCAGGAGGAAATAAAGGGGCAGGGATTGGCTCCTCACGTCACAGCTCATGCTTAAAGGAAGGTTGTTTTTATTGCGTTTTGTTCTCTGATATTTTTAACTTATGAGAGTGGATTACAATAATGGGATCCAGTGTTTGTTGTTTGCTGATGTTCTCAGGTCATTCATACAGAGCTTTGAATCATTTGAAGTGCTGATCTTGCAGTTTCTGAGGCCCAACCTTTTGTTGTACACCATAACATGAAGCATTCTCAGCAGTGAAATATGATATGGGCATTGAATGCCTACAGTTTGGTCATTTAAACTCACCAAGCTAAGATGGGATAAGAGTGTCAAGTTAAGATGATTTCCTAATGGGTCAATAAAATCATTAACAGTGTTAATATTTGCAATCTAGATGATTTTACAATCTTGATTGTTAGGGGTGCACCGATTACAGGTTTCTGGCCAATCACTGATTCCCTATCTTTAAAAAAAGCCTGACATGGTCATTCAGATTTTGACCGATACAGATTTATTTTTATAACTGACAGCCAGTTGTTATAAGATCATAAGACACAAGAATATTCAATGTTACTGAAAAAAATCCTTAAATGCCCATGAAACAATAACAACTTCTGAAATAACTGCTCTCAAATATAGATCATGGCATTGACAGTGGGTGAGTTTCAGACCTTTACAGGAGTGGATTTGATTTGATGGAAAAGATTTTACATGTAAGTATCGGCCGATCACAGATCTCCCTCAAAATAAATTAAAATCGAAGCCAATCGATGGAGCGGGCGATAAATCAATCGGTGCACCCCTATTGATAACATTAAATGTGTAACATTATACTTGAAATTGTGTAACTTCTGACTTGGAAATTATGAATAACTGCTTACCTAGGAATTATTCACACTTTAAAGCTGGAATTTCAAACTAGATATCAATGCACAGGAAAATGTTTAATATTACATAACATTTTAAAAATGAAAATTAAATGAAAAAAAAAAGAAAATATTTAAGGTTGTATAGGGTATCATTCTTTTAACAGGCAAATAAAGCAGAAATCTAAAGTTATCATGGCAAAAATATGTATGTATGTATGTGTATGTATATATATATATATATATATATATATATATATATATATATATATATATATACATATACATACTTGTCTTTAGTATCAATACCATGTCAAATTGCTATTGTATCTGAGTACAGCGTTTGAGTATCAATTCTTCTTTTAGTATATTGATATTTCTGACAACCCTAGTGTGAGCTGCCAAATCCACTTTAAACCACTTTAAATCAGCCTTGGCACAGAGAATTCTCCAGCGTTTCAGGATGAGGCCCACATAAGTTTATTTTCTTTGCATGGCAGAGCTTTAGCAAGCATGTGCAGATGCTGAACTATGTTTCCAGAAGATATCCGATGTTGAATTATAGTTAAGAACTGTAGATAGTTGATTATTCAAAGGCTTATGAATTTTCTTTTAAGGAATATTATTCCAAAGTTCTTACTCTGTTTATAGATGCATTCTTACAAGTGTAAATTAAAAATATATGAATTCAGTTAACAAAGAAGATCGGTTAAAATAATCATAATGGCTCTGTATTGATAAAATCCTTGGAAGAATGAGAACAGCGAGAGCAAATGAACCCATATGCTGGTCAGCCTGTTCTGATGAAACTGAGGTGTACTAACTTTGTATTTCACAAGATGTCTTAAACGACAAACATACGGAAGACAATGAGATAAGTCAGTCCTTGATATCGGAAAAATTACAAGAAAACAGCTACTTGGCTGGGCTGAGGTTGCATATATACGTCACACTTAACATTTTTATGGAGGGTTATCTAGTATAGAAAATTCAAAATAACAACATGCGATATCCTGATGTTAGCTAGAAGTTACTTAGTTCTCTAAAAGTGGTGACCTAACCCTCTGTGACATTAAACTAGATAACCGATCAACATTTTTAAACGCACACTAGTAGAAGAAGTATCTCCAAATAACAGCATTAATTGATTTCATGATATTGGCAACGCAAAACTCTTTGAAGCGGGGTTGCAAAAAAAAAAAAAAATAGATTGTAACTTTTCTCCAACATGAAATGAGTTTGAAGTTCAGATGTTTTGTGGATGACTTCTGTATGAGAGACATTTCAATGAGGAAAGCATCTTAACTTAAGAAAAGGAGTTCACCAAATAACCATGTTAATATTTATTTGGATATAAAATAGTTTGTATTTGACTGGGATGTGTTTTTTTCCAGTTAATCTTTTAATATATAAATAGGTTAAGGACATTTACAAGTCACTGCTTGCTATTTTCATTAACATTTTTTGCATCTTGGTTTTACAATAACAGCCCAAACTTGTAATTACATGATTGGCTCACCTCTTATTCCTCATTTGCAGCGCCATGGTGATGAGGGTGGATGAGTGAAGGAGGCGGGCGTTGCAGCAGAAAGTCGGCAGATAAGGAGGTCGGGCAAAGATGTTTGAGGCCGACTCAGACCTAGCTGGTGGGGAGGTCGAGGAAGAGGTGGAAGCAGACATGGGTAGCAGGGACCTGAAGGCTGAGGTGATGCGGCTCACTCTGGAGCTCCAAGAGGCAACAGAGGAAAAGCTGCAGGCGGCTCGGTACGGACTCGTAGTGCTGGAAGAAAGCGCCGCTCTTAAGAGGAAGCACACGCAGCTGGAAGAGGAACACGAATCCCTAAAGTTGGAGCTGCAGCAACTCAGAGAGGTAGAAACACATCGGGCTCACAAACCTATTGGCTGTGTTTTATTATATGAATATAATTACACACATTAAATCATTAGTAAAAGGCTTTAATTTATATTGAAAAGTGAATATTTGCAGCAATGATATAATTTGATTGTTTGTTATAATAGATTCAGAGCGATGTGCTTCCATAAACTTTCCCTCCCAGAATTAAAAAGAAGCAAAGCCAATAACTCTCCAATTATAAATGGTATAGCTTGATATAACTACAACCCCATGGGTTAGTTGAATATCTGTCAGTTTTCCACAATGCAAACTTTAAACATTGCAGCCATTCACATTGCTGTACTATCTCTGTTCATTTGACTTATCACAGCTGAGGATCTGGCTGCAGCAACTCTTAAAGCCGTTTGAAGATTCTTTTTTTTTTTGCATTTTTTATATTTGCATCTGCATGGGAGATAAAGTTACATTTACATTAATTTTTGTATCTTTTAATGTAGGAGTTATTCCACTATTAAAAACTTGTCTGTGAACTTTGCCTTCTGGTTTTTGAGGCTTTAAAAGGAGAAGGCTGCTCATCGCCGTCGACTATCAGTTAAACCAACGTACAAGAAGTTTATTTAGGCCATGTAATGACCTACTTGTTTATTAGTGTTGTTTTATTTTGTATTAGTAAATGGACTCATTTTGTATAACCCCATTCTCCTCATTCTTAAAGCACTTTACTCTAAAGCCACGTTCAGCCAATCACGCTCACCGGGTCAAGTTTTTTTTTTTTTTTTTTTATAATCCTGTTTTGTCCCGAATACAGATTGAAGTTGCTTAATATTTGGCTTTTTTCAATAGCAAGTCTGAAGGTTACTTTATTAAAAGGTATTCAAATGCATTTGAGACCCTTTCCTTGAAAACTCAGGTTTTAAGGTGCCGTTTAATGGTGATTTAAATAAATAAATAAGTCTGTTTTCTTTACTACAAAATAGTTTTTTTCTAACCAGAGTTTCTGCTGGAAAGCTTTAAGATACTGCAGGGACCTTGGTTAGGACAAATCATGTCTTTAACCTAAAACACAGACAGGTTTAGAATGAGCTTTTAAAGATTTACTCGACTTGATGCATCTGGTTGCAGTTTTTACACTTTTTTAAATTGCTTTTTTTTCATGTTTTGTTTTTGTGCTTAAAATTATGTAAGGTAATCAAATATATCCTTCATTTTTTTAGAAATATATTTCACAGCCACTGATCTAGTGATATGCTGTAATGAAAGTATTTTAACAACTTTAATTTCTTAAATTACTGCACAGGATCTTAAATAGTTGCACAGGATGCAAAGCTAGTCTCTCTGAGACTTCTGACTTTCCAAGGAATAATTCAGAACTCTTTCCTGACTGGGATTTTGGTTAATCTGCCTTCCATGTGCAGAGAGAACAAAGCGTTTCCCTTGGAAATGAACAGTTTTGATATAAATTTTTGATGATTTGAAACAGAACATTCCCGTGTGGTATCACTTTGCTGTGTGCAGAAAAAAAAACCCACAAGAAAAATGTTTTCTCGTGCTTCCAGAGTTTATTGCTTTGCTCCGATTGCTGTAAAACCTAAGGAATAGTGAGGGCAGCTCTTTTTGAAGGTCATTGTATGAGAAAGATGTTTGGTTTCATCACATTTACCAGAGAAATCCAATAATTTTTACAGTGCTTGCATGATAAAATACGCACTGCTTGTTAAAAAGAAGTCGTCTTCCCAAAACACAGCGTCCATCATCCATAACACATTCTGGGTGTGGCTAACAGAAACCCAGATGGTGCGCCATTTCAGAGTGGGAGTTAAGTTTCATCAAAGACTCGGTTCATTTAACAGGACTTCAATCAGCAACGAATCACTGGAAGAAACATTCCTAGTACTGTTTATTTCAGGGTTTTACAATTGTTATAAATACCCTATTGAGTAGAGAAAATAATCTTTTTGTGTAAAGATATTTAAGTCTCTTAGGTTTAAGTATTGTTGACCAACACAGTATATTTTTAACCTTCTCAAAAGAGGCAAAATTATGCAGAATTTAATTTCTATCACAGTGTGCTTAAAACTAATTATTCAGATATTCAACCATGTCGGCTTGTGTAGATTTTTAATAAAGCAGTGTGAGCTCATGTCTTAAATTAGACTTATTTTGTAGCTACAATAAATCCCTCAGCCAAGCATTTTTTCGGTATTTGTTTCCTTAGTCGCCATAAATGCAGTGTTCTGTTTCCTGGTGATTGGAAGCTGTGAATAGACGCATTATGCAACTATCGGATAAGAATTAGGGCTATTATGTGATTCTCCAGGCAGAAAAACATCTAACTAGTTAGGGTTATGGTCTTTATACAACATTTATAATTAGTCTTGCCTTACTTTAGTTGCTTATCCTACATGCATCCATCAGCTGATTATTTTTCAGGATGTAACACAGATGCTTGTGAGATGCTGCTTGTTTTTTTCCTCCATCTTTAACTCCTTCCATTGGTGTAAAGGCTTTTGCAGATTCTGTGAGCAGCCAGAAGCGTGCAGCTGCTGATGGAGAGTGTCGGGAGGAGAGCCTGCTGCAGGAGACTGCCACTAAAGAGGCTGCCATGGCAACCCGGATGGAGGAAGTTCAGGCAGAGCTAAAACAGACTCGTCTTGCTTTGGGCAACGCCCACGCAGAGATCGATAGACTGGGGGGGCTCTCCACCCAGCTTAAGAAGGTATGATGTCTCCTCACTCAGTAAAAATGTCAATCCTGACAGGCCTGTTTTGTTATGAAGCCTCCCGTCATAGGGTTAGGTTTTAATTACTCGATATACCAACTTTCTAGAATAACTTTAAATGAAAACATTTGTTAAAAGTTTTTTCATTGTGTTCTGTAGGAATGTGAATGTCTGGAAGCAGAGAAGAACCATTTAAGAGATGAAATGAAGGAATATAAAGTACGCGAGCTGCGCCAGCTGCAGGATAGCAGTGAGCTGGAGGAAGAGAACATCTCCTTACAAAAACAAGTGTCTGTGCTAAAGGAAAATCAGGTCAGCTCTTATTTTAGCATTTCTTCCTTTGCCTCTTATGTTCATGTGAATTGTGTGCATGTTTTTTTGATGTTCTTTACAAGGGAAATTTTTCTGTGTTCTTAAATCTTCCTGAAGGTTTTTTCTGTTTTCACTGTCTTAAAAAGGCTCAGGGAAATTGCAGGTGGCATCTAAAACGTGATCAGGCTTATTTGTACAGACTGTTTTGAAAACCCAGATGTGGGTTTTCTTTAGAGCTGCATGGATCTGATGTGTTTACACAGCTCTGACGGGACCTTCCACAGCGAAGGCTACAGAGTTCTGTTTATCTGTGTTGCTCACTTGGTTCTGGTCCAGATAAACTTAAGGTCAGTTTGTTATGAATTTGCTTCATCTCACGTGGAGATGTTGCTAGGCTCAGATATGTGTTCTCCTGGGTTAGCCAAACACTTGGCCTACAGTGATCAGAGGCAGGAACTTGTGCTAAAGGGTTTGCTTATTTTCTTTTTGTGGTACTAGTAAGTATTGTTTGTGAAGCCAATGGACAGGAAAGGACATTGAGAAAGTAGGAGGATGGGCAGCTTGGTCTCATCTGGCCGGTGGTTAAATCCTGGACGGCTGCAGCTTTGAGTATTGTGTGTAACCAATATTATTGACCCAATACGATATCAACAGGAATACATACTTTTGTTACCTTTTTTGTAGTGTAAAAAGATTTGATCAAGTGATATTCGTTAAACAGAGAAGAAGGTTAACAACAATAGGTAAGAGAACCTCTGACCTGTTCATTAATAACCAATGGGTTACACTAGGGATGGAACGGTTTATGAAAACCGTCCGAACCGTTCGGTTCGACTGTCTCGGTTCGGTTCGCGTGTGTTGCGTTCGCTTCATGCGCTGCTCCTTTTTCTCATAGGCGAAGCGTTTACACTCCAGAGCAGAAGGTGGCGGTACTGCGACCAAAGCCAACCACCAGTAGTAAACAAGAAGAAGAAGAAGCGAAGCAGCGTAGCCGGGTGTAGCAGAAAAAAAAATCAGTTATTGTGGAGAATTGTGTCGGTATGGCTAGTGGGAAAGAACATCAGTTGGAAGACGCGCCAGCAGCACTTTATAGGTCTGCTGTATGGGACCGCTTTGCATTTAGAGTGACCTACGATGACGGCGGAAAGAAAGTTGTGGATAAAAGTGCAACAGTGTGCAAGCATTGTGCAACACGTGTTGTTTATGCTAACAGCAACATGACCATAATAGATTTTCCTAACAATCAACATATACTGAACCGAACCAAAAACCGTGACCACGAAACCGTGAACCGAACAGAACCGTGGATTTTGTGAACCGTTCCACCCCTAGGTTACACAGACTTAAAGGTGTAGTGTGGGATTTTCGTTAATTTTTTAAAAGAGAATGCGAGAATGCCTATTAAATGCATGCTAGAGCATGCACGAGCCAATTTCTCCTCGTTTTTTGGCTGCTGGTGGAGTGATTTCATAAATGTGATCAGGACATCCATAATTTTAATATAGAAAAAGAATATAGGGAAACTAAAAATTAACACAGTGGGCACAGAGGAAGCAGGATTGGATTCTGTTGACCAAACACCATCTGTTGAACGCTCTGTTGGGTTGATTTGAATGTTGAAATTTGACCCCCATTAATATTGCATTGATTTAAACAGGCATTCTGCTTGTTCCCACCTTTTTAGGTCGAGTTTGAATCAATAAAGCTTGAGCTATCCCAGAAGAATGAAGAACAAGACGAGCTGCGGGCACAGCTGGAAGAAGCTGCGAGGCTGAGGGAGATTGCTGAGAGGCAGCTGGACGAGGCCCTGGAAGCCCTGAAAGAGGAGCGGGAGCAGAAGAACGGTCTGCGGCGGGAGCTCTCTGCTCTGACCCTGAACCCGTTTGATTCCATCGGGAACTTGGACCTCCATTTGGACCCGCTGGATGACAGTCAGGAGGAGGGCCAGGGAGGAGCAGGAGAGGCTCAGGAGGAGAACCAGGACAGCAGTCACACAAATGGTTCTGCATCCGCTCCCAGCTCCAAAAGCAACGGCCTCAACCATCGCTACTCCACACCGCGCAACAGCGACGTATTCTTGCGTGCTCCAGCGTCGGGCTTGGTGTCCGACCTGCTGAGTGAGCTGCACTTTTCAGACAGTCAGAAACTGAAGCAGCAGCTCCTACAGGTAGGCAACAGGCTCCGTAGAAACAACTTAATTATGTATTGCAGAAAAAAAAGAAATAAAATATTGTTTTTTAATGGGATCTACTCTCACTTCCTTTGAAATTAACTGCTGCCTCTTGATCTTTGAAGGTCATTAGGTTTCTGTAAATTTAGCTGAATTGAACCAAAGAAGAAGAGTTGTGTAAATGACTCTTTGCCGGTTACCACATAATCTTGATTGCAGAATCAGTTCTTAACTTGAGGGGGGAATTGCTGTTCCACTTTTCTTTTATTAGTACATACATTTTATGAGATCTGCATTTCTGTGTTTGATATTAAAGTCCCAAATATGACAAACCTTTTTTATATTTGGTCTAAATATTCGCATCCCTGCTTATATAAGTCATCAATCTCACAAATTGTAAGTATCTTTGCATTGAAACTGTAGATTTCAGATGAAAAACCTTTATTTTCTCTGTATGTTCAGCCTCATTTGAGAACAATCATTATTGTCTCAGGTGTGGAAGTTTCAGCACAGTTTAGTCCGTTTGACTGAGCTGTTAGCTTCCTGTTTGGGACCACATCCGTTCTGGTTGAATAAAATACAGCTGGTTCACAAAGAAATGAAGTCCCCTCATAATTACTATCAACACAGATTTATTCTAAGGCTGTAAAGAGAATTGAGAACCTATTGAGTTTCTCTTTGTTTGGACAAAGTACATTATTAATGATGCACTTAAGTTGGGGGGGTTGGGTTTTAGGCTCCTGTCTAACAGATGTTTGGATTCTGGAGCTGAATGTGGTTCCATTAAAAATGCATCAAGACGAGGAGAGAGTGAGGAAAGGGGCATCAGTGTCAAAAAATGTTACTTTCAATTTCATGAGGTTCATTAAGTTGGTTTACTGAAATTAAAGAGTAGATTTACATGTTGTTGTTTTTTTTTGTATGGAATTTCAGGCAGAAAGGGAGAAATCAAGTCTTGCTAGCAAATTAGAGGAGCTGCAAATGCAACTGATGATGTCCAAACAGGCACTAAGTCAGCAGGAGGACAAGGTTGGCTCTCTCACTAAGCAGCTGGAGGCGGTGCAGCATCAAAACCAGGAGGCTGAGGAGACGCAGAAGGTGGAGACAGGAGAGGAGGCTTCTGAGGGCTTCGACTACGAGGTGGACACCAAGAGCAAAGAGGTACTGGAGGCACGAATGCGTGCCGCCAGTGAAGAGCTCCTGAAGCTACGAGACGAAATTTCACAGGCGGGAACTCGTTACAACACCCTTGAGCAGAGGTACAAGCAGGAGAAGGAGCGGTGGAGGGGCGAGGCCCAGGAGCTGGCCGACAAGATCCGTCAGTGCATCAAGTCCAGCAAGCAGGACCAGGAGCGCATCAGTGAGCTGGAGAAGGAGATCGGAGCCACACGGAAGGTGGCGACCGATTCTGAGGGGCACCTGAGCGTGGCACAGGAAGAGCTGCTGGCTTTCTCTGAGGAGCTTTCCAACCTCTACCATCACATATGTGTGTGCAACAACATAACACCCAAACGGGTCACCCTGGACTACTACCGGGACAGCGCCAGGGGAGGCGGAGGAGGGTTACGAAGGTCCCACCATGTCTTCGCCCAGCACAACTCCCAGAAGAAGCCTCGGGCTAACGACATGTTCATCTCCAAAGCTGCAGCACTGCAGTTCATGGGGGAGGTGGACAGCGCTGGAGCCAGCGGAGACTCTCTGACCTGTCCCGCTTCGCCCACTCTGGACTTCAGGGACCCCTCCAATGTGTCCAACCTGGTTGCTGTCATCCGTTGCCAGATCAAGCACCTCAGGGTAAGGTGACTGTGTATGTGAGACCTGCAGCACTGCACCCGTTACAAACCAGAACATATAATGAAATAACGGCTCTTTACCTGAGCCTGACGTTGCATTCAGCACGCTAACGTTCTTGAGTGCCTCTCCTGTCTGCATAAATCCAGCGCCTGTTCAGGGCGGCGTTGACACGTGCCTGCATGTGCTGGTTTGAATGGATGGGATTATCAGAGGTCAAAGTTGATTCATGGTCTTAGGAACACATAATCCTTTGAGCAAACATTGTCTCAAACACTTGAAAACTTTGATTTACTTATTTTTTTTTTCTCAGCAGTGAAATGAAAACTGAAAATAATAAAATAGAGATAAATATTAACAGCCTCTAAGAAAATAAGAAATTTGAAATAAGTTAAACATTCAAATTACACACTAAACATGTTTAATTTAATTAATTTATTTTTTTACTGTTGTAATAGTGTAACAAACTTTTCCCAGGAAGAAATCCATTTCAAATGGTTTTACTGTGTGATCCCTCAGGTGGCTGTGGACCTCTGCCGTCAGAGAGGAGCGATGCCCTACTCTGGTCTCAGCAGCAGCGACGAGTCCGAGCGGGACACGGAAAGTCTTTTGGAGGAAGTTCTGAAGCTCAAATCTCTTCTTAGCACAAAGAGAGAGCAGATTGCAACCCTGCGGACTGTCCTCAAGGCAAACAAGCAGGTGAGCTAAGCTACATTTCCCCTGAGGTTAGACCTAGACTGGACGATGTTTCTCATCTCTTTGGCTCTTTTAGAAATCCTTCCTCCATGGTATCCAAATGGTCTGATGGGGATCCTGGTAAAAGTCAGCGTTACCCAGTCACAGCTCCTCTGTTTAGTCTGTCTGGGCTGCTGTGCTCGTTATAGCTAACTTCTGTGTTTTGTTTAAGTTGAAATGCATTCTTATTTTGTCGGTTTCAGCTGTATCCAGCACTCTCTGAAAGTTTCATATATTCTTCCTTAGATTATCCAGGATTGGTTTGTTGTCAACCTTTTATTGTTTTTCCATAGATTAAAAAAAGATACTGTATTTATCTTGTTGCATCTTTTGGTACAATCAAGATTTTGGGTCTGTTTGCTGTAAAAAAAAAAAAGCTTGAGACTCACTCTATACAAATACCACCAGTATAATCGTTTTTTTTCCTGATTATAGTAGTTATCGGTAACTTCGCTACATACAAGCTTGTACCGTGGTTAAATGGTTCAGGTTAATACTTAAATATTTGCACACATTGAGGGGAAGATAAAAATTACGTCACTTTTACACACCAGCCTTATAAACACACACATAGCAAACACCCAAAAAATAAATCCTTTTGAGAAGTAATCAGAGTACTGAAGGATAAATACATTGAGAATAAGAATATGCTTGCACAGTACAGCACATGAAAATCTGCAAAGTGCCTCTGCATCTTTTTCTGTTGAACAGCTGCAGGAACAAAGCTGTTATAAAGCTTTATTCTGGCTCTAATCACGGAAGAAGCTGAAGCTCGATACAAAAAAGGATGAGAACCATTTTGAATGATCTCCCATTAATTTAATGACAGAATGTTCCTTAAATATCTGAGATTAGGGCCTAGCAGATATTTGGATTAGCAATATAATCACAATTTTAGTTTTCATATGACAAATGTAAGGAACCAACCTTGTCACTTTCTCTTCCAGAAGGGAAGAGAGAGCTTCAGCTCGCACACAGATCTATACATGCGATTAGAGGGAAAAACTTTTCCACACAACAGTAATATCCTGCTACAAAAGAATCTGGACAAACAAGCTCTCAAGGTCACGGAAAGGAGGAAACCCTTGAGGGAAATAAATATGTGCTGGTGATTAGTACAAAGGAAAGTGAAAATAAAATTGCAGTTAACATTTTTTGGGTAAATCGTTCAGCCCTCTTTGACATGACAGATTGACACAGTAGCTGCAGAGTTGTGGGATGCACGGCCAATGCAGTGAATCTGCTTCCACCACATGCTAAATGTGCTGTGAGACTGAGATCTGCGGAAGACCGATGCGGTTGTCTGTTCTCAACCAGTTTTAAAAGATTTTAGCTTTGTGACATGGGGGGCATAGCCCTCAGTAGATTAGTACCAGATGGTTTTAACAATGCTCAGGTCAAAGCTGGGGTCTTTAGAACTCCATCGCTCTACTTACTCAGGGACCCAAAGTGTACCTAGACTGTATCTTTCATATCATTACATAACTACTTTACTCACCATTCATTAGCTAAGTTTCCCTTTCTTTGCTGACAGGAGATGCTTTAGCCCAGCTTACTATATGAGTGGTTACTATGGAGACTGGTATGTTTCTACCATCCAAACCATTTTGACCATTCTCCTCTATACTCAACAAGGCGCCTTAGTCTCAAAAAACTGCTGCCCACCGGATAGCTAGTCTTATTCAGACTGTGTAGGAATCCCAGTAGATCAGCTGTTTCTGAGACGCTCAGACCAGCCTGCCTTGCACCAACACACATTCCACATTCAGCCATTTAAATTCTCTTTCCTCCTCATTCTGACTGGGTTGAACTCCACTACCATGTCTACATGCATCCAGTTCCTCTCTAGTTTTCTTATTACTTATAACAGTTGAACAGATGTACCTAATAAAATAACCGGTTGGTGTATATTGCTGACCAGACCGTCCCTTTTCCACTGCACTTTGATAAGTCCACCTTCTCCTCCACTCGTACATCTCATCTGACCTACTTCTGTCGTGTCTGGAGTTCTCCCCCTCCGCTGCCCTCCCATGACTCTCCAGATGATCCTTTAAACGATCTAAAGCTGACATTATGGAGGTTACTTCTTTGAAATACTTAATATAAACACGTTTCTTTTTACATTCTACATTTAAATGCATGATTTCAATAAGAAACATTTAATGGGATAATATTATCGGGCTCTATCTCTTATCTGTAATAAACTGGAGAAAGAAGAAAACTGCTTTAAATCTGTTTTGCCGTCCTGATCAATGCACTATGCTGACACAGATTCCTGTTTAGCTTAGGAGCATCAAGGCCTTTATAGTCCTGTCTGTTTGCATAAGAGCCGCTTCCTGTTATTCTGCTACCAACAGAAAGCATTAATGTTCCGTATAAAGAACAGAAAGAAGAAGCTGCTTGGTTTTCCTGATGTTGCGATCTGTCCAAACAACTTTTTATTTCCTATCCTTTTAGTTTTTGGTAACTCGTTGTTCTTTTGAAGTGTTGACTGTATCATTAAAATGCCAACAAAAGTAAAAATCCCTGGTGCATCTTAGCTCTATCATTTTAAAAAATGTCTCCAAATGAAAGATTAACAAGCAATGATTATCGTTTTTAAAAGTACAAACGTAAAGTTAGTTTGTTTTTCTTTTTGCAGACCGCTGAGTTGGCCTTGTCTAACCTGAAAACCAAGTATGAGACAGAGAAAAGCATGGTGTCGGAGACCATGATGAAACTGAGGAATGAGCTAAAAGCCCTGAAAGAGGATGCTGCCACCTTTTCTTCTCTCAGAGTCATGTTTGCCAGTCGGTAAGATTATATGATATAACAATATAAAGTAGTTTAAATAGTTATTTTCTATCACTTTATGCTTCTTGGAGGCACTGATGATTGGGATCCATTTACTGTTGCTCATATATAATGAGCTTACGGTGCTTATTTTGTCTGCGCAGACTCTTCACGTGAAGATTATACAGCACATGTTCTGCCTTGTGCTGCTGGGGGGGGGGGTTGGTCTGATTGACATAGGTCATGTTAAGAGTGAAAAGGTCTGATAAGTTTGCAAGAGATGAAGAGTTAAAAAAAGCCATAGAACACAGAAAATTCCTTAGTTGATTTGCTATCAGCAATTCTGGAGTTCCATTTGACTAGAAATAGCAAAATGTTTTGAATTTTAATTTACCAGCAATTAAAGAATATCCTGGCCAGGTGTCAGACTCTCTGAGGAGTCTGCAGACATTAATGAGCTGCCGTTTAGCCTTAAGAAGGATTGAAGTACAGACAGTGATCAAGGACAGCTGAGGTCTGATCCAGGAGAAGATTTACTGCTTTAGAGAAAGGTTATGGTTCATGCTTAGTTTAGAGGCACCACCTTGTGGTGACATCTGCACATGGAGGATTTACCTGCAATTCACCCACATTAATCATTTGAGGACCCTTCAGTTTGGGTGCCTTTTACGCTTTTGTTCTGTTTTAAAGATTTTCACAAACATAAGTAGGATTTTAAGTTTTCCAGATTTCCCTTTATGGATGATATTCATTCACTTCAGTTCTCATTAAGCATAATATTTAGAAACTCCTGGTTTTTTTTTTTGTTTGTTTTTTTCAAACTGAATCAATGCTTGTGCCTTTGTTTTTTCTTTTGTGTAAAGATATAAAAGAAAAAGTTTTGTTTATCTTTTTTTTATACATAAATGTTCTCAATGGTATATTTACAGTGCATGGGAACATATCATCTGCCAAGAAAAAGAAAACATGAAAATAGAATAATGATATTTAATTGTGCAAAGTAAAGAAGGGACTCAGTTTAGTCAACTGAGGGTGTGATGCTCAAATTGCTGTGTTAATAACTGGTATATTTACTGCTAATTATTTCCAAAAATTGACGTCCTTTGTGGTGTTGGTTGTTGTTGCTTCTAACACACTGACTTGTGTGCCTTGCAATGAGCTCAGCTCTGCTCCTGCATGCTGCATGTTGATCCTGTCCACATCTTTCAGGTGTGATCAGTACGTCACCCAGCTGGACGAGATGCAGAGGCAGCTTGCAGCTGCCGAGGATGAGAAGAAGACTCTGAATTCTCTCCTGCGTATGGCCATCCAGCAGAAGTTGGCTCTCACTCAGCGTTTGGAGGACCTTGAGACTCCTCAGGCTCCCCGGAGCTTGAACAGCAGCCCCCGGCGGTCCCGGGCTAAAGAGCTCGCCACCAAGTCAGGTCGTGCCTCCCGGAGCCCCAGAAGCAGTCCCGGCAGGCCCCAGCTGAGGAGCAGTCCACGGGCCAGCCCCGTCCTTGGCAGCAGCGTTCCTGCCTCGGCCACCCACCACTTGCGAGCTCTAACCCGAAGTCTCCACACAAGCCCTGTAAGAACCTCCTCTTCTCTTTCTTCCGACAACAGCATTCATACAAGCAGCCGGTCCCATGGTGGCAGGGGTCTCCCAAGAGATGCCACCTTCATTAGAAGTCGTAGTATCAGTGATGTTTTTAATACAGAGGTGAGTCACGGACGTTCTCTGCCACGTAGAGACTCCGCCAGTTCTTTAAGTAGCGACTTAACAGTCAGTTCAAATGTCTCTGATAGAAGAGGGGCTGCATCAGGCCGGAGAGCTTCGGTCCCTGTGCGCCAGGACACGTTCATCAAAACTAATATTGGCCCTTCCTCTTCCAGCAGCAGGCGGAAGTCTGCTTTTTCTTTACATGTTGATGATCTAACCTCGTCTAAAGCTTGGCGTGTGTATCCTAACACATCTAAAGCATGGGGTGAAAGCCAACAAAACTCTAATCCAAAAACTCACCTAGATGTCTCGGTAAGGAAAAAGCAGTTGCCCAGTAGGTCTAAATCTGTGCAAGGAGTTGCTGCTGCTGGCTGCAGCTACTCATTGCTGGCAGACTCGGTCCGTTCACAGTCAAACTCCAAATATTCAGCGCCCCAAACAGTCAAGTCTCTGTCTTTTCCCAACCCGCCTGGTAATGCCAGGATGACAGGAGTCTGCAGAGAGTCTAGAGGCAGATCTTCCACCTCCATAAATAGAACTGCAGAGGAATCGCTCAGTGCCGCCAATAAGAACTCTGGTACCAAAAGTCAGGCTGCATCTTCCAGGGCCCGGAGCTCTCATTCAAAATCCTCTCACAAGAAAAAGTAGGAAGTATCATATGTCAAAGATAATATTTAAGCTGTTTCATATTTTTTTTGGGGGGGGTTCTTTTTTTGCTTAGATTTTTTAGAGGTGAAGATTACTGATTTTAAGGATTGAGTTCAACTTTACTGCCGTTTGTTGCATGGCTGCTTTTACATTGACTTGTAAAACCACATGTTACAACCACAATGCCATGTTACAACCACAAACTTTATTGCATTTGTGCATTTTATTGGGATTGTATGGAAGAGCGACACGATGCAGTCAAAATGGTGTGCAGTTTTCACTGAAAGGAGCTGTGAGACGCTCAACGCTGAGATACTATTTTGTAACTGAAACTTCTCCAAAGCTTTATTCCTGACCTGTCATTTGGTCACACATACAGTATAGAAATAGATAGATAGATAGATAGATAGAAAGAGAAAGAAAGAGAAAGAAAGAAAGAAAGAAAATTAGCTTATAAAGCATTTAGCTTATAAAGGAAGTGAATTTTGTTTAGTGGTTTTTGAGCTGAATCTTGAATTGAAGTTAATATGTTTATCTTCTTTCACATTGCAGTTTGAGATCTGTCTATCAGATATCTGCTAATGGGCTCTATGCACAACTCCACTACTCCCTGAACTTAAGGAAGCTCTTCTGTTTCCTGTCTGTCGTTTCCTTTTTTTCCTTTTTTTTCTTTTTTTATTTAACAGCGTTCTGTCCGGCGATATGGCAATAAGAATAAAAGAGCCCAACAGATTTTACTTTCACAATTGGAGCAGTACAGCTGTCGCCATAGTGTTCCGCTTGATTTATGCATATATATAGCTTTATTATAATTATGCAGGGAGTTTTACAGATTATATGGACACTGCAATGTAAGTAGAACAGGAAAGGAAAAACAGAAAAGATGAAAGAAAGACAAGATAAAAGTGAGATAAAGATACTGAACTGTCTGTCATTTCTGGATGAACTGATTAATCCAGGTGTGCCATGGTCACTGAGGTCAGGCACACCTGGATTAATCAGTTCATCCAGTAGAAAAAGGCAGAAAACTTCAGGAAGAGCTGCGTTAAATTCAAGAAGTACTGGCACTGTGCATCGAGCGCCTTGGACATGTTTGTGGTTGTAACAGACAAAAATTTTAAAGTGGGATAAATGATTTTGCAAAGAACCGTAGATCTACTTCTCATTTTCATTCATGCTCATCCAGGTCCTCTTTTCTAATTAAGTTGGACTTAATGTATTATTTTTTTGTCTTTGTCTCCCCCCCGTTTCTGTAGCGCTGAAACACTCCCATCACTCCAAAACCCCTCTGCTCCATAAGGACCAGTCTTCATGTTGTGACCCCACCCTCTCTTCCTGATTTGAGGCATCCTGTCCATCCCAGATTTGACGCTGCATTAATTTCTCCCTACCTACCAGAACAATGGAGTGAAAAAGACATTTTTAAAAGGAAAAAAAAAACGACTTCTCCATCCCATCCTCTTGGTGTTCTCTTCTGGGAGTGGAGAAACCTGCATGCAGCCTGGAGGAGGATGAAGAGACCAACCTGCTGCTCATTTTTCCTCTCTCATTGACCGTGTCTGTGTCTTGTCTTTTTCAACACTGTATATTGTGGCGAACCATTGACAGTATTTATTCCATAAACCAAACCTTTTTTATTTCATTGTACAGTATTTCCTATCCTGACTCAGATTCAAGGCTGCGATCTGTTCTCTGAAGCCGTTAATGTCTTCACACCCTCTTGCCTCTAATCTGGCATCCTGCTCCGGCCTGTTTGGCATTCCTTAGCGTTGGCAAGCCGTTAGCTCGTCTAGAATAGCTCTCCCATCGACGCTTGTAAAGAGCAGCGGAGATTTACAGGCAGGCTGAAGGGGAAGTATCTGTTGTCCTTAAATCCTTACCTCTTACATGCAGTGCAGGCGCACTACCTGTCCTTTTTACCTTCGAACCTTTCTTATTCTTGGACTCCAGCCTGTCAGCTATGCCCTTTAACTAGAGGTCAGTAAACAGCCTTGTTTTATGTGGAAATGGATCAGCCATAAGTTCACCACCTCAGGTCAAAACCATGTTTATTCAGTTTGACTAATCTTCAGTGAAGGTCTTAGGCCCCGTCCACACGAAGACGAACCCTGGCCTAAACGCACAAATTTTTCACCAAACCAGCCTCTCATCCACACGAAGCCGGCGTTTCGGGGGTCTGTAAACGATCATTTTTTTATTCACCCTTCAGAGTGGGAAGATTCTGAAACGCCGTATTCGCGTTTCCATCTTTACACCCTAACCGCATTTTATTTTTTACACGCATGCGTCATAGCGTCGCCTCTAAACACGCAAGCGCGACACATCACAACAACAATGGCGCCGTTGCTGCTAATGCTACTCACCCTGCTGTCGGGCTGGTCGGGCTTACAACAGAATCTTCTTCTTCTGGAATATCTCCAGGAAGAACAGAGCAATATCGACCACATAGTTCAGCACCTGAATTTGACTTAACCACGAAAATAGACCCGCAGGGCAACCATGTATAAATATTAGTGCGCATGCCCTACATTTCGTCGCTTATTTTTGCTTTGGCACCACAGCGCCACTTACAGGCCTGGCATACATTTTGCAGCGTTTTCATGCATTCGTGTGGACGCTCACATTTATTTTACGTCTCCGTCTTTACGGCAAACGTTTTGGAAAATATCAGCGTTTCGTGTTCGTTTTGACTTCGTGTGGACGGGGCCTTACTTTACCAACTATGCAGACCAAGCTAGAACAGTGCCTGATTGCTGCTGCTGTTAACATGGAGGTGGATCCATCCAATCGGGACTTTTGGTTTAACACTGGCTGGCTGCAGTTTCGCTCTGAAAACCATTCACCACGATAAACCATTAGAGGAGGGAGAGACTTCTTTAAGAATCAAACTTCAGACAGAAATGTCCCAATAAATCGTAATATCACCAAAAAGTGATGATGATTGTTGCTTAAGGCTAATAGAAAGCTTCGACAAATTCAGGATTGTTTTCCTGGTGACATAGTGAAGGTTAATGTTACCTGAGGCGGTCAATGAGGAGCTTCGACTGATCAGCAAACCATAAGGCTAAAATAAAAGAAATAAATTTTGACATCTTTTATTAGGACATTTAAACTTCACAAAGAGAAACAAAGAATATATACACACATAGTTTTAAATGGAATAGGCAGAAGTGAAAGCTTATTTTGCCTTATTTTCTACATCAAGTCAGTGAATTTGTTTCAAAGCAATGAAGACAAATCAACGTTAAAGCCCAACTTTCCACAGACGCAGGAAGAAGGAGGGACAGGTAACACGACATTTAAATCTGCTTCATCTCTTTCTGCTCTTTATCATAGCTAATCAACGTTCGTTTTATGCATTTCAAGTTATTTATGAGTTTTAGTTGTAATCCCTCACAACAAAAAGATGGAATTCAATTCAGTTTATTTATATAGCGCCCATTCATAACAAATGTCATCACAAGGCACTTTAAAATTCAGCCAGATCGTACAGTCAAATTGATTCAGAGTTTTCTTTTCTAAGGAAAATCATTTGATTGCATCAACTTGAAGGCAATCCTTCACACTAAGCATGCTTGTAGCGACAGTGGAGAGGAAAAACTCCCTTTTAACAGGAAGAAACCTCCGGCTGAACCAGGCTCAGAGTGAGCGACCATCTGCCGATTTTTCTTGCTGCTGTTCTCCCTCAGTGTTCGTAAAGCTGGTGCTCATAAAAAGATTCCCCTAAGATACCAAAAACCTTTGAATCTTTTAATATGTTATAAAACGGCTAAGTTAGCTCTTCTGAGGGCTCTAAAGGTTGAACAAAAATAAACATACATGATTCTATTCTAAAGGAAGTTTATTTATTAGGGTGTACCTGATGTCCTGATTCATTAGCAGCATCTGAAATGGAAAATTAAAGCCCTGTGCATGTAGAATATTTAGACGCAGTAATTTGGATATCTAATGTAGAAAACATTTTTCTCTAACATCATCTTACTTTTCATTTGCTTTTCTTGCAAGCCACACCCTGCAGTTTCTTTTTCTCCTTCTGGTGCCTTGGTTTTGGTCTTCTCCAAGATTTTTTCAAATGGCAGTAATTGTTTAGACACTGTAGTTTTTATTTCATTTTTTTTAAGCAAGCTCTTAACTTGGATTTAAGCACTGGTATCCAATTTTGGTCAAATCTTTTCACCTTTTAGTCTATTTGCCTTGTATAACTTTATGGAAATGAACTAGACCTGCACCCCAGCATGCCCTGAAATGTTATCTGCTGTAATTAACTTTGATTATTACTACTGTATGAAAATCATGAGAAATGAAGAAGTTTAACTGTACGCTGCTGTAAAGTTTTGACCTGCCAGAGGGCCTTGATTGAGATATTTTGGTTACTAAAAAGTGAAAATGCTTTAACATAATGTGACGTGGCATTGAAGGCTGTAAAATTGATCTCCTAATCTATTTAATTGACACTGTGTATAAATTATTGACCATTGCTGTATAATATTTTAACTGTATTTAAGTGGTTTGCATTTTCTGTAAATCTCGATGTCGATAATTTTTGTCCGGCGGTCCTCAACCTTTTATGTGTTTTATGCAAGTTGACCTTTTTTGACCTCCTGAAGAATAAAAAAAACCTACACTGTTAAACTTTGTGGAGTTTGGTTATCATGCAAAATGACTTAAATTGTCATATTCTTAAAAAAAAAAAAACTGATACAGGAGTGTAGAATAACTTCAGACAAGGACAGAGCAGACTCTTTGAAAAACTACAGTAGATCTAAGCTAGTTTAAAATCACTACCTATTAAAAGTTTGATAACGAGGCGTTTTCTTCATGCACAGAACTTTCTAAGAGGCCAATAGTTGGTCACAGCCTGCAGATGGCCTTCAATTTAGTATCTGATCACATCAATCTCACTGTAGTCATTAAAGATGGACAAACCTGTAAGGAAGTGATAATTTTTCAATGAAAAAACAGAAGCATTCTTATACAATTAAACAAAATTCATAGCTGACCAGAGTTTCCAACCACCCAGTACTTAAGGACTTTGTGTTTTTCGGGAGTATAAGTATGATGCAACACAGAATACTTTGTCTCTTTACCCAAGGCAGGACTAGGGGCCATCTTCATCTTTCCACCATGGACAGAAACGAGTAAGTTAAAGAAGAGTACTAGAAGAGAAAAAAAAGTGTCATCATGGGTTAAATTATATAAGGTAACTATTAGACACATTATCATTCCTGGAAAAAGTGTGTTATCTGAATGGATGAGCGGGTAGTGAGGAGTTCTTTAAGGTGTTGCTTTGTCAACACTAGAGGGTGTGGAAGTCCATAGAGATGAGGAGGAATGTGTTCTGTTCTGCAAACTTCAATTAGCACAGTTCTAGATATATTTGCAGAACTCATGGTGAAAAGGGTTTAAAGGAGACAAAGATATGGATTAATTGTTTAGAATTTGGAGAGTTTGGAGATATGCTGAGTGTCCAGCCTCCTGTTGTTGAGGAGGAGATGACTTGACCAGAGCATACAGTAGCTGCCTGTTAAAATATGACTAAGGGGGTTTGTAAGAAATTACAGCAGGAAAACCAACAGTCGTGCTGCACGTATTTCTGCTGAAAGACACATCCCACAATTAGAATTTTCCCCATTTAATAAATCTACTCACAATAGATTATTCTGTATATTGCAGAATCTCCATTAATTAGATTCTGATATTGTTAAAAAGTATTAAGGATTTTTTTTTTTTTAGAAGGGTTTTTTCTTTTTGCAGAGGTACTTATAAATGTGTCATATATAAACAAAAGCCAAAGCCTCTCCATAGATCCAGTGTTTGGTGTGTCCTTTCTGGGATACTGTAGAAACATAACTGTGAAACGAGATCTTTCTTTACGAAGAGCAGCTTTACTCTGCGGTTATCCCTCTCATACCTAATTCAGTAACTCACAAATGGATTTTCCATCCACCAACCTGTAAACGGAGTAGTTACCATCTACACCATCTAAAAAAAACCTGTATGTTTTGAGTTGCATATACCTGAAGTCTTTCGAAATCAAATATTTGATAAAACGTTATACCTTAATCTAAGAAGTTTGTATGTTTTTGCTATATATATGAATCATCCCATGTTATTAAGTTTAAATAACAAATTTGACCAAAAGTGATACAAAGATCTAGCCAAATACGATGAATAAACATGAGCAAACATATTATGTAAAAATTATGCAATAAAAACTAACACTGACAAAAAATACTGACAAACACTGAGGTCCCACTCAACATCTTATCCTGACCAGAGGGCCGGGGGGTGTTTTAAAGAAGAAAAAAAAAAAAAAAAGAAGAAGTAAAGAACGAGAGTCAGTCTAACATGCGTTTTGCACATCTGATTACAATTCCTCCTTATCACATTCCTGTGAGGGCAACACACAACAAATGGGTGCCGCAGAACAGAATGTAAAGAATGAATCAGACAAAAAAATGTAAAAGCTCTATATTTGTAAAATATGTTCTCACTTGTTTTTAGCAGTAAACCAGACTAAGTTCAACTTTTTTTATCATCCCATCCCTTTTAATCATGTAAAGCACTTTGCATTGTCTTTGTACTGAATTGTGCTATACAAATAAATTTGCCTTGCCTTGCCTAGTTTTAAGAGAGAAGTGTAGCTAATTTCACCATGAAGCATATTCCAGTCTTCAAGGAAACAGTTTAATTTGTAAATTTTTGTTTATAGACAGAACTGCATATATTTTACCTCTGTACTTAGATGAAAATCAACTTTCAAGGTAGGATTAATGTTTACATCTAATATGTAATTACAGTTTTTTAATGTAGGATGAAGAAGGAAAAATCAGCTAAAGCTGTGCTACTGTTGCTGCAAGGTTTAAACAGCTTGAATATATGTATAATTGTGCTATTTGTTAGCCAACAGCATATAAAGGTAAATAAAAAAGAAATCAAAATCAGCAACAATTACTTAGGAAGAATGGGAGAGGCTAAAAGGGGAGCCTTGTGGTACTCCCCAGGGGAGGGCAGCAAAGCTGTAGACAGAAAGCACGGATGCTAAGAGAAGCCCTTCTATCAGGAGTTACAAAGAAA